TCACCCAAACCCATTTTACAGCTGAGGAAACCAAGGCTCAGAAACGGCAGTGTCAGAGCCAAGAACCATGATTTGTCTCACGCCAAAGCACATGCCCTTGAGCTGAGCCACTGCTTCTGTCCTGACTTGGCCAGCCAGAGTCCAGTATTTCATTCTGTGTCTAATGGGTACAATAAGCTCAAATTAATTCTGATATTCTGGGCAGAATTTGGTCAACCAATAGAGACGGTATTGCTGGAGGAGCTCAGATGTGAGCAAAGTTTGGAGCTAAACAAGATTAGCCAGGGTCACAGGCTGGAGCAAGAAATTAGCAAGGGGCCAGAGCCCCTAGAACCTATGAATGGGTCGGGGGTTGGGTGCCGGGGGTGGCCTTTGCAAATGTAATTAGTTAAGGAGCTTCCTATGGTTTCAATGTTTAGTACCCTCCAAAATATATGTTGAAACTTAATCCTCAATGCAACAGTATAAAGAAATGTGGCCTTCAGGAGGTGATTGAGTCATAAGACCTCTGCCTCCATGAATGAGATTAGGTGCCCTTATAAAAAAACTTGAAGGAGAGAGTCTGCCCCTTCTTTGCCCTTCCACCTTCTTCCATGTGAGGACACAGTGCTCATCCCCTCTAGAGAATACAGCAACGAACAAACCAACAGCGCCATCTTGGAAGCAGAGACAGCAGACCTCACAGACACTGAATCTGCTGGCTCCCTAATCCTATACTTCTTCCAGAACTGTGAGAAATAAATTGCTATTATTTATAAATTACCCAGTCTATGGTCTTTTGTTACAGCAACACAACAAAGACAGATCTCAAGATGAGCTCCTCCTTGATTACCTGGGTGGGCCCTAAACTCAGTGACCTGAGTCCTTAGAAGAGAAGGGGAGATGAGACACATAGAGGAGAAGGCGATGTGATGATGGATGCAGAGGCTGGAACAACACATGTACAAGCCAAGCAGCAGCTTGGATGGCTGCAGCTGTCAGAAACTAGAGAAGAGACATCTCCTTCAGAGCCTCCAGAACAAACCAACCCTCCAAACACTTTGGATTTGAACTTCTGGGCTCCATAATAGTGAAAGAATACACTTCTGTTGTTTTAAGCCACCCAGTTTGTGGTAATTTGTTGTGGAAACCCAGGAAAACCAATACAGGCTCTATTGCTGGTAAGAATTACGGTCAAACCAGGAAACACCAGCCATCCATGGCCTTGGGCTGAGGCTGGTCCTGGGTCAGTAATGAAGAGCCCAAATCTCTCCTTAGGAACTGCATACTTAGGATAGAAATGCAAAACCATCCTTCAACTTGGGAAACTAGCTGAAGTTTCAAATGCCCTCTGGTCAGAGGGGATCCAGGATCTTGATGGTGACAAGCTTTGGTGTCTGTTGCTGAGAAGGGCTGGGTAGGCAGAAGCAGGCCCCAAGCTGTGTGAGATGCCTGTCATAGGGGTGTGGTCTGACAGGTATGACAGGGATGGGGAGATTATGCCTCTGGCTCTTTCTTCATTCATCATCTGTATCTTTGGAAGGATGGGCATGAGGACCAGCTAGCTATTGACACACTGTCTGCGGGTTGCATTCAGCTTCTCTGACACAGAACTGAGGGGCGGTGCCTTCACCTTTCCACACCACCCCTGCTAAGAACCCCTGCATGTGAGGGAAGGGAGCCTGGCATTGGCCCTGCAGGGGCCCTGGTTGAGGGCCCAGGACTGAGCCCAGACAGGAATTGCCACTTGTAACATCTTGGAACATGAAAAGCAAAAAAACAGATGCCCATCAGAGTTCCAGAGAAAGTTTAGATCCTGAAAGACAAAGCACACACACCAAGTCCAAAGTCTCAAAACACTGAATCAAAATCAGAATGTGGAGTCAAGAATTCAGAATGGGGCAAAAGTGGGGTCTGGAGTGGAAGCAGGCTGGGGATGAACAAAGGGAGCCCAGAGTGCCTGCCCTGTGGCTCCCCTTCAAGGGATGGCGGGTCCTTGTGAATGACTGGGTGAGGAGAGGCTGCTTTAAAGGTTCAAAGCAGCACAGATACCAAATAGGGAGCCCCATGGTCAGCAGGATAGACCCATGGCCTAGCCACTGTACTGTCTTCAGTTTACACTGAGCAAAACAAACCCTGCATCCCTAAAGTCCAACGATAGTGACATTTGTCTTCATGCTCAGGCATTGGGAAAAGCGGGAGCAGAGAGGACAGAATGGGTGGCAGTAAATGCTCCAGAAGCTTTAGAGCCCAAACCCCTGTTCAGAGGTGGAGGCCCACTCCAGCAATGATACTCAAAAGCATCCATGACAGGGCCCTAGAGGACAAAGCAATATAGTTGGTCAGAGACTGGGAAAAGTTTTCTCAAAGAACTTGGACTATGGTTTGACCATCAGGCTTTCCCTGGCCTGAATCACCTCTGCAGAAACGCCTAACTTAGATCTGGGCCCTGGATCCCACTCCCAAGAAAACTCCTGGACAAAGCAAGGTGCTGAACCCCCTAACCTAAGTCCCCTGTCTTTGAATGAGAAAAAGAAAAAGAACTAGCAGAGAAGGTAGAGGTCAAGAATTGGGCTAGGGCCAGGCACGGTGGCTCACACCTGTACTCCCAGCACTTTGGGATGCGAAGGAGGGCGGATCACGAGGTCAGGAGTTCAAGACCAGTCTGGCCAACATGGTGAAACCCCATCTCTACTAAAAATACAAAAATTAGCTGGATGTGGTGGCACATGCCTGTAACCCCAGCTACTCAGGAGGCTGAGGCTAGAGAATCACTTGAAACCAGAGGAAGGCAGAAGTTACAGTGACCCAAGATCATGCCACTGTACTCCAGCCAGGGCAAAAGAAAAAAAAAAAAAAAAAAGGATTGGGCTGGGGCCAACGTTTAGCAGCAGAGGCAGCAAAAGACAAAGAGTGGACTGCCAGAGTCTGTTCTGACTCCATGTGACCCTCTCAGGACATCCTCATGAACCACAAGCAGAAGCAGCTGAATCCTTTTCCCCCAGGGAGCCAGCTCACCTTGTAAGCTCATTGGTGTTTCAAACACAAATTTGGTAGAAGAGCAAAAACATATATATTAGTAACATAATCATATTAATATGTAGAAAAGGTCTGATGCAAATTGGAAAGTGGCATTTGGAAACTCTGATAAATGGTCATGCAGAATTTAAGATTCCATCTGGAAGCCTGCTGCGAAAAACGTGACACATGGGGTTTCTATAGAGGGCTCCACCTTCCCAGGCTCTGCCCGCACTCAGCTCACCCAGCTTTCCAGATCACATCAGCATGCAGGTCTGCCTTGTACCTGTCAAAGGGGACAGTTCTTTTCCCCTGTAGAACTGGGGTGAGCCCTTCTTTCTGCATAGCCATCCAGCAGATTGCCTTGAAATTGGCCAGATTTCCTCACCTAGACTTTCACTTCCAAGAACGAAGTCCAAAATATAGTTCAGAGGTTGTACATGCCACCACATACACCAATTTAACTAAAGAATAGTCACTAAAGACTTTTTTATTTCATGGGAAGGAAAATAAAATAAAATACTCCACTACTTCTGCCTTCCAGAGGGATGGCAAATTCATCTCTATAATAGATTTCTATTTGATTCAGAAAATCCCTGGCCTTTTGGCTACGAAAGGGAAGGCTGTGGGCTAGTCTGTATATAAGAGGTTGAGACAAAAAGAAAACTAAATTGCTTAGCACAACAAAGTAATAGGAACTCGAGTGGTCCTGTTATTGGAAGAGGGGCCCGATCCAGACCCCAAGAGAGTTCCTGTATCTCACACAAGAAAGAGTGAGGTGAATCCATACAGTATAGTGAAAGCAAGCTTATTAGGAAAGGAATGAATGAATGGCTATTCCATAGACAGAGCCCATTTTTATGGTTATTTCTTGATTACATGTTAAACAAGGAATGGATTATAGATGCCTTCCCTTTTTAGGCCATACAGAGAAAAATTCCTGACGTTGCCATGGCATTTGTAAACTGTCATAGTGCTGGTGGGAATGTAGCGGTGAGGATGACCAGAGGTCACTCTTGTCACCACGTTGGTTTTGGTGGGTTTTAGCTGGCTTCTTTACTGGAGCCTGTTTTATCAGCAAGGTCTTTATGACCTGTACCTTGTGCCAACATCCTATCTCATCTTGTGCCAATGCCCAATCTCATCCTGTGACTTAGAATGCTTTAGCCTCCTGGAAATGCAGCCAAGCAGGTCTCAAGCCTTATTTTACCCAGCCCCTATGCAAGATGGAGCTTCTCTGGGTCAAAGGCCTCTGACGATCCCTTGAGCACCCAAGAGAAAGGTGTTCTGGGAAACGTGACAACCAAGAAGAGAGAAGGTGGGAGAAGAGCCTGGGGAGAGGGGGCAGGGCCAAGCAATCTGGTAGCAGGACCTTGGGCTTAGCAGAGAGTGGCAGGAATAATGGTGTCTAATCTTCCATTTTCTGGCTGAAATCCCATTGTACCCAAACCCTTTAATACAGGTCATTATACGATAGACTTGTGTTAACTCGCCTCTGGGAAATGAAGGAGGAGGGGCTTGCTCATGGTTGAAATGTAGTGAATCAGAAAAGGCTGGAAGAGTCAGCAGGAGCCACAGTAAGATAGATGAGAGAGGGAATTACAAAGGGAGATTGGAAACAAGTGTTTGAAACAGCAGTTGTAGGAGAATGTGAGCATCAGATCCCACCCCCCACCCGCCCCCCCCCCACTCATCTGCAGATACATTAGCAGATGTACCTGTTAATACCTACAGATACATGGGGCGGGGTGGAGGGGGGCAGGGCCAGACCTATAGAGGAAAGCAACACATTATGTGGGTGATGGGATTACGTTTTTGTTTTGTTTCTTTCGCCTTTGCATACATATTTTCAAATTGTTTTTTTCTCATGTATGTGTTACTCGTGAAATTTTTTAAAGTCAAACAAAAAAAATAAAAAACAAATGTGCCAACAGAGCTGTGGAAGGACTTAAGCACTCAGTAGCAGCACGTAAGCCTTGTTCTCACACTGTTTTCCTCTTCAGACAAAGGAAAAACAAACAGCCATCAGCACCAGCTCCTCTCCTACACCTGTACCGGACATGGACTTGAGACACCCACGAGGGAGGACCCCTTCTGTGTTCCGGCTCTGCCAACAATGCTTCCAGAAACTCCAAGAACTCGCATCCCAGGAGCTGGGCCAAGCAAGGCAGGGCTGTCATTAGCAGGCACTCTCTGTCCCCACCATCCTCTATACTCTCATCGTTTCTAGATGCAATGTTTAAGTATCTTAAAAAAAGGTTCACGTGGAGAAAGTGGACCTGTCCAGAAAAGAAAACATCATGCCTTCCAGCTCCACACCAGGTTCCTGCTTTTATCCTTTTGGAAAATTCAAAAATTCCTTTTTGAATTCAAGAAAATTCAAAAAGTTTTTGAGTTCCGGCAGTGGCTGCTCTCCTTCCTGCCAGAAATATACTCCATTCTCTGCACTCTCTCTGGCCTCATGAATCTTGGCAGAGGGCTGCTCTCCTATGGTGATGACTCCATATTAATTTAAGTCTTTTCAAGACACACTTGCTAATTAAAATGTGAAACAGTTTTTATCCCTTTAATTAAGACACACGATGGGAAGCATAATTTAATTTGGTCCATTGAAAATATCAGTATTATTAGCTCCATAACTTGCTTCCATTAAAGATGCCTATGTTAAACAATATTTTTTTCCTCCCACACTCACTGGAGTTCTGGCATGTGCACTGGGTCCTGAAACCACCGTGGGAGTTTGTGAATTGTGGTCCCATTGAAAAGGCACAGAATGGAAGCCAGAATCATCAAGAACATTGGCTGTAGGACCCTGTCATAGGTTGGGCTCCCCTCTCCATGAGAAGCAAACCCTAAGGATTTGAGTACAAGTAGCTGGTACAGAAGTTCGTCTAGGGGAGTGAGGAAATAAGACAGGGAAAGAAGACAGCCAACTCTGGGTGAACAAACAAGCAGGCTGCCGTTGTGAGAACCTGAGGAGACGCTCACTGGGGACACCTGAAAATGTGGAACACATTTCAGGGCTGCCCCATGGGAGGGACAGGAAGCCGGGTGTTTATCCTCCAGAGACCATCCAGCACATGCTCAGGGCTGCTCCTAGGGGTGTCGGCTCCCCAGTACTTCCAGTCTTCCCCTTAGGCAAAGAGTTACAAATATTGCAGAGGGAAACCATGGTGTGGAGGGGCAAGGGGTGAGTGGAGATGGGTACCAACTGGATCTGTAACACACTCACAGCCCGATCCTGCAGCTGCACCAGGCTGGGCAGGAAGGGAGGAGGAGACATGTAGGGAGAGTGTCAATCATCAGTTTATTGCTAGTTCTTTCTGTGGCCCAAGAGACAAAATCATGGACCAGCAACAGCTGGGGCCATACCCGGAAGTTTCTCGACAAGGGTAAGAGTAGGATGGGAGAAGTGTCAAACTCTGATCAAAGTCAGAGACAAACATGGGGAAATAAAATCCATGCAGAAATAGATGTGGGGAAATAGAAAAGGTACTGCCAAGGGCCCAGAAATGGGAATTGGGGATAGTCCTAACGTATCAGTTCAGCTAGTTCAGTCCAAAGGGACCTTTCTCACCCAGCACTGCAGCCCTGACTCAGCAGCTATCCCATTACCCCCATGGTTTTTCTCTATAGACAAGGAAAAACAAACAGCCATTGGTAGCTGACTCGCCTCCTAAACCCGCACAGGACAGACTTGAGACACTCGCCAGGTCAGCCCCTGCCTAAGTGCCAGCTTCCTCCAGTTGGAGATGGAGAGGACAGTTGGCAACACGACCCTGTGCTAAGTGGAGAACCCAGAGCTGGAAAGTGAAGACAGTGTCCATGGCAGAGTCAGAAAACTCACCAGCTCATCAGAAACTGTACAGGACTGGGAGTTAGAGGGAAAATTCTGAAAATGACACTCTGGATACCGAGTTGAGTTGAAAACTAAGGGTGACAGGACTCTAAGAAGGAAGAGAAAACATTCAAAATCTTGCTTGTGCTATAAGCAAGTCAGCCAGATAAGGAAAGGTGTGGCTGGAGCCAAGACTGCAGGAGGTCAGACACAGACAAGGTGCACAGTTGTGGACGACCTCTGCCAGAGGCAGCATGGTGCGACAGAAAGAACCTGTCACTGGGAGCCAGACCGCGACTGTTCACTTAATTAAACCCTGGCTCTATCACTTACTAGCTGAATGACCTTGGGCAAGTAACTTCACCTCTCTGAATCCTTGCCCTGCAAAGAATTCTGTGAGGCAGAATACACTAAATTCTTACAGCGTATGTCTGCCTCATAGGAGCCCAGAAAAGCTGCCCCTCCCTGATCTTAGATTTTAGCTTATGTTGTAATCTGGAGCCCTGCCTGTTAAGGGAGCCCAATAGTGGCAGCTTCTGACTATGTGTGTGTGTAGGCAGGGGCAGTAGGGTGTGTGTAGACGGGAAGTAGATCCACCTGCCTTACCCCAGGTTTGTTGAATAATACACAAAATTGTCCTTAAAAAATACACAAACTAGCTATGGATAACAACTCCTTTCTGCCTCTGGCGTCTCCCAGACAGGTAAGGCACATCGAGGCTAAAGGACATGCCTCTGGTCCCTGCTGGTGACTGTCAGAGCAGGCCACTGAATGCCCTGTGATGGTTAATATTGAGTGTTAACTGTACTTTTCCTTAAAGTACTGAGGGGGTGTGTGTGCCTGTGAGGGTGTTGACAAAGGATATTAACATTGGAGGCAGTGGACTGGCAGACACAGATCCACCCTCAATCTGAGCAGGCACAACCTAATCAGCTGCCAGCACCGCTACGATACAGCAGGCAGAAAAATGTGGAAGGTCTAGACTGGCTGAGACTTCTGGCCTTCATCTTTCTCCCATGCTGGATGCTTCCTGCCCTCCAACATTGGACTCCAAGTTTTTCAGCTTTGGGACTTCTGGACTTATACCAGTGGTTAGCCAGGTGCTCTTGGGCCTTCAGCCACAGACAAAGATTGCACTCATGGCTTCCCTGCTACTTTTGAGGTTCTGGGACTCAGACTGGATTCCTTGCTCCTCGGCCTGCAGACGGCCTATTATGGGACTTCATGTTGTGATCGTGTGGGCCAATACTCCTTAATAAACCCTCCTTCATATATGCATCTATTAGTGCTGTCCCTTTAGAGAACTCCGACAAATGCAACCATCCTGTATCCTGCCTTCCACCTGGTCCAGCCCCCAGAGCCCATCCCGGCCAGGCCAACAGGCAATTCTAGGCCACTGCATCCTCTGTGGGATATGTGGGTGCCTGTGTCTTTAGGGTTGGTGTTGGGGTGAGTAGAAGGTGAACATTAACATCTCAGCAAAGCTTCTTCCTAACTGAAGCAATTTTTCTTCTCAAGCAACCTCTTCCAAGAGGTGGTAGGTGATATGTCTGAAGTTGAACAAACAAAACTGAATCAGTCTGATGAACACATATCCAAAATTCCAGCAAGGAATCTGTGCTCCACACAGAAAGGCAGGGGCTGGAAATCACACCTCCTAGGGCTGGCCTTAGTGGCCTCCCTCGTGGAAAAGCTAGAGGAAGGATGAGGGCACAGGCTTCCACCTCCCATGCCCAGGCCTCCTTCCCGCCACCCCGACTTTGGACACCCAGAAGATAGGAACATGTTGAATCTTAAAGAGGCAGCGCCATCAGGATTCGGTGCAAATGTCCCTTGGGTCCCCCGCTCCCCTAGTGCCAGCCTTTTCTGGGCCCACAACTCCTAGCACAGAAGCACCCACACCTCACTGCCTAGGTCTTCCTGTGAAGAGTGAAATGAAACCCATGAAGAGAGGATGCAGGAAGCAGGCTGGCTTCTCTCCTGCCACACTTTACTCACAGTGCATTTCTAAGCAGTACATGGGAAAAGCTGCCTGTGGCCCTCAGACCTATGGTGAAAGATTCATTCTTTCTCCATTTCAGAAATCCTGCCATGCTGAACCCCTCACTGACAGAAGAAACCTCCCTCAGCAGTTTGCAGCAGGCCTCTTCTAGCTAGCCCTCCCCCCTACCCAGGAGGCCTATGACACAGTGGCCCCATTATTCAGGCCACCTGAGCTCCTCTGCATTGTCGTTGGAATGCTGACACTGGCCACCTGAGCTCTGTTTGCCATCTTTTTATCTTTCGGCTCTGACTCTACTGTGGCCACTCAGAGTAAGGACAGGCCAGGGAAGCAAGAGGCAGGGGAGGAGGGTGGCAGCAGCGGCAATGGTAGCAGGGTGCCTGGCAAACACAGTGGAAGAGATGGACCAGCAGAAGCGAAGGCTTTCATGCACCAGGCCTTACAACTCCCCACTCATGGTTGCTGACCTCACAGGACATCATCAGAGCCCAATATATTTCCCAATGGCTGTCGTCTGCCCATGGATAGCTCCCAAGCCTGTGTCTCCATTCTGCCCTTTGTCCTGATCTCCAGATCTGTTTATCCTGCTACTTCCTCCTGAAGGCCCTCCAAGACAGCAAACTCACACACCCAAATCTGCACCGTCTGCATTGCCCCTAAGTCTGATCCTCCCCACTGGTTTCCCCCCACTGTGCAAGTGTCATGCAAGTTGGAAACATAAGTCCATCCTTGACTCCGCCTGGGCCATCCCTCACATCCTATCAATTATCTAGCCCCGCCAATTCCTTCTCCTAAAACTGTTCCCAATCCAGACTCCTCTCTCCACTCCGGCTGCAATCATTCCAGTTCACACTTCCTCCCAGCATCTCACATACGGACTGTTTCCACACTCCCCACTGGTCTTTCTGAGCTGATCTTCCCAGCCTCCAATCATCTGCCTGGAACACCCTTTTCCTCTTGTCCCTGTGGTAAACTCTTTCCTCCTCCTAAGCCTTCCTCTTCCTGTGAAGTCTTTCATGATTCCCCACATAACATGAGGCACAGCACCCCAATCTCACCCTGTGGGCCCCAGCTGCTGGCACCTATACCCTCATCAGAGCCCTGGCCACGTGACATGGCACTGGCTGTTGGCACACCCTTCTCCCACAGGGCTCCCCGAGACCAGGGACTCCTAGTGCCCTACTCAGTTCCTGGCAGTTAACACTTCGTATGTGCTTAGTTGAACTAATGAATTCTACAATAAAGAGGCCAGGGATCTTTGACAAAATCACCTTCCTCCCAGATCTGAAAGACTGGAAATGGGATTTTGTGTTGAGTTCTTTGATCACAGATCCAAAATACCTAAATCCTTTAGCTACCGAATCTGTCCGGCACAAGCATGTCCCTCTCTCAATAGCCAGGAAACAGTTTGTAAATAAATTCCTTGTCTCACGTCCCATTTTATTGTTTTAATTCTTTAGCATTGGAGCAAGATCTCCATTCTCAGTGCCTCAATACCTAGTATTCCATGTGGACGAGTGAAGCACAGTTACAGTGTTGTGTTCGATTCTTCAGCTCCTACTGTCAGGGAAGATAGGTTGCTTCTCTCAGCTCCAGTCTCCATTCATGGAAGAAAGGCCTTCCATCCCACCCACAGCTCCCACTTGCAAACACTCAGTGTTTGAGAAAGATATTAACAAAGAACTTAATCAACCAATGTTATCTGCACCCATTGTTGTAACTTGCTTCCATGGAAATCACAGCATTTTCTCCCAGTGATGCTTAGACACAAGGAGTTCTCCAGGGTACTTGCTGGGCCTGAAGGAGAATATTTGTGCCTTGGGTAGCAAAATGCACAATTCACCTGTGGTTTTGACTTTTACTTACCCTCTCTGCTTTCTTCCAGCCTGATTCCTTTCTTGCTCTTTGTCCCCTGAGTCCTGGCAGGGAGAGACTGACTTCCTTTTCTTTTTCCTCTGTGATTCCTGTGACTTCTCCAAAGCCCAGAATTCTCCAGGGGGAAGAAACAAGCTTGCTTCTCTATTGTATATTTCAACTTCCTTTTGTTTCATCACAACATCAGCTGCAACCTCCCCACTGCAGACAAAACTGTTGTCCTTAACTTTACTCCAGCATGTAAATCTATGTGGGGTACACTCTCCACCACATCTCCATAGTCACGCAGTCACTCACTCAGCCTTCTTCCCTTCCTTGTTCCCTCCCTCCCTCCTTCCTTCCTTCTTACCTTCCTTTCTTTATTCCTCTTTTCCTCCTCTCTTTCATCCATTCATCTACTCATCCATCCATCCATCCACTAATTCATTCATTTGTTGAGCAGTTACTAAGTACCAGACACTGAGCTAGGCACAAGGAATGCTGAAATGAATAAACACAGGCCCAGCACTAAAGAAGCTCATAATCTGGAGAGGAAAATGGAAATGTTTACAATTGTTTATAAAGAGTATGAAGAGAGTAGTGTGACAATCCAAGGGAGAGAATGATTAATTTTAGAGCGTATAAGAAGAATGAATCAAAAAGCTGACATTTGAACTGAGTATTAAAGATGAAGAAGAGGGGAAAATGCCATTCTGGAAAAATAGCCACTGCAATGACTTAGAGACTTAAAATAACAGGGTATGAAATAGAAAATAAAAGAAATGTCAAGAAGCTCAGTATGATTGTAGCAAAGGAGGCACATATGAGAGGAATTTAAAGTAAAGCTAAAGGAACACTGGCCAAATTTGGAGAATCTCAAATGTCAGAGTAAGGTCTCTGGACTTTTTTCTAGAAACCATAGGAAGCTATTGGCGGCAGGTCAGCAGTTGGAAAAATGGCTCTAGCTGCAAAGATCAACAGGAAGGGGGCTAGATAGGAGGTGGCAGGCCAGTTAAGAGGTTGGCACAATGGACCAAATGAGAGATGAGGCCTGGAGTCAAGGCATGGAGAGGGTGGGATGACAAGGGGACTGCAGAGGCGTGGGTGTTCCTCTGCATGTCAAAAGTAAAATGCCTGTCTCAAAGGAGCCAAATAAATAAATGCTTCTTGTGCTGTAGCCCGAGAGCTTGGTAAGGCCTGCTCATGGCCCAGCTGTCTGCAAAATGCTCCAAGTCTTGCCTGGCTTTCAGGAGAAGCAAGCCCTCTGCCAGCCTTAAATTAATGACTCTTCTAGGGAAGTACACTGCTGTCTGCACCAGTGGCCTGCCCATGCCCATGTCAGTGCCCATCAGCAAGGCTATCCCACTGGGCTAGAGCTCATGACAAGGTAACAGTCAAAAGATGGCTCTCCTTCCCTCTGTATAAGGTGATGTGGGTTTCCATATCTATATGCCCTATTGGAAAACAGAGCTCAGGGTGTGATAAGTCATATATTCTCTTTTTCTCAGTCTCACAACCTTAGAATTCAACATTATTTTTTCATCAACAGGCAATTCACTTATTAATTCTGTTTCCTTCTGTTGACATTGAAAGGTTCTTGTCATTCAAATATAAAGGACCACTGCAGAGCGACAGCTACAGAGAAAACTTGGGATTTCATTCTGAGGAGAAAAAGGAATCAAGAGCTCTTCAAAATAGTAATGAAAAAAGGGGATAAAATTTATCCCACACCGAGTTTAGGACAGCGACCTTTTATATGCATTATCTCATTCCATCTTCTCAATAGCTCTGGGAAGTGAGTTCTGATTACCATTTAACAGATGGAGAAACGGAGACACAGAGAGTTCAGGCCACTTGCCCAATGTCACTCTGCTGCTTGTTTGTAGAGCCAGGGTTTAAATCTAGATCTGCCTCATTTTGAATTTCTTGTTGGTTTCACTGCATTGTCACCTCAGAGGGGCAGTGTGGAGGGTAATGAGAAGATGGGCGGGAGGTCAGAGCCTGAGAGTCACCCAAACATATACTTGCAAGACTTAAATCCTGGACTCCCTGTGACCTCAGACAAATCACATGGCTTAAGTGGGTATCAGCTTCACCTCTAAAGTGAAAGGTAGATTGAATGATACAGGTCCACAGTTTTGAATTCAAGTAAGAGAGTGAACGCATTGTTAAACGAATAAAGATTTACAGATAGCATTTTTACTTTATTTAATGTTGGAATGTCTCTTAGTGTGTGTTATAAAAATAAAACAGGGCCTGGATTGTGACTTTGCAATTCAGCTCGTTACTTCACTGATTTGGGCTTTGTTTCCTCTGATTCAACTAATCAAACCAATGTTTGTTCAGGGTTTACCCTGTGCCTGGCAGCATGCCATATGGATGAAATAACTTGCCCAGCTGGTACAGCTCCAAATTTAGTTGTTCTGCATCTTCAAACTAAATGAATTGCTGACTTTTCCCAAACTTGCTTTTGAGGAAGACTAGTTTAAGTTGTTGAGAGATGTTACAGAACCAAAAGCATTCTGCACTCAAATGAGTTTGGGAAACACTGCATTAAACAAAGATAATCAAGTGCTTTTACTGTGGGACTCCTCCAAGACTTTGATAAGCTGATACCAACAGGAATCTCCAAGAGGGGAAAGATCAATCAGGGTTTCCAAAACTTAATGGATGAGAGAATTATTTTCAAGGAGCAACTAACAAAATGAGTATTCTAGTGACTATGCCTTAAGCAGCACCAGATCATCGGCTTAAAAACCTTTATTAAGAAGAGTCTAAGAGGCCACTGCCTGACAAAGAATCAGTGGTGTTGTTCATTAAATGTCAACAAAAAGGGGAGCCTATCTGTGTTCAGAATGAGCACTGTCTCTGGCTAGCAAGTGACCCCATGGGATCTCAGCACTTTCTCTTGGCTGGGGAAGGAGCAGGTTGGGTCAGATACCTCTGACATTCTGGGAGTGCATTTTCTGAAAGGGCATTCACAACTTTTAGCTAAATGTTCCTTTTCTTCACTTGTGACATTTTGGGCAGATGAATCATTTGGCAAGTATGGGTTCTCACCCCTCTTCTAAGTACACAGGCTTGTCAACAGGAGGTTTATTCATTGAGTCCTTTGAGAATTCATCCTTGTCCAGAATGACTGGCTGGTGTGTTTTATCCTGAATGTGCAGGCACCTGCAGTGTGGGAGTTCTGCCAACAGCCTCTTGAAGTATTTTCATGAGCTGATATTTTTAAAAGTCGAAGGGTGCTGCATTTCTTCCTGGACTGTACAACAAGGGCAGGGACAGCCCCACAATGAGAATCACTTTTGTGAAAATGGTGACTTTACTTTGTTATTTTCAAAATTTTATTTTACAAAAATAAAAAAGCATCCTAAATTGCCAACCAAGTAGAACGCACAACTATTACAGAAGGGTCTGCTTACCTTTTAAAAAGTACTATACTTGAAAAAGAAAAATCTGTCCTTTTCCTTTTCTATCCTTTAATGAACCCTTCATTTTCTTCTTGGCAGAAAAAAATTAATCCTTCCTATAAAATTTTTGGAAAATATAAAAACTCATAAAGAAAACATTAAAATAGCAAGTAATTCCATCACCTGCAAAAAAACCCACTATCACTTATTTGTATATGTACTTCATATGCAATTTTTTCATTTTTTATATTTATTGTACAAGGAAATAGATTTCTTTATACTTATATTCATAAAAATATGTATATATGTCATACTAGGAGGAAATACAGATGCAAAAAATTATTTTTCACTAAATTGGAAAGGCACCATACACAGTTTTCAACTTGAGATTTTTTCACTTAGCACTGCATCATGAATAGTTACCCAGGGCTGATGCTTCCTGTTCCCAACAACCTGAGGTGTTGTTACCTCACAGGGCTGAAGAATTTACAAGCTGCTGTCAAACATGACCAGTGATGGCTGTGGCATTAATATCAATGATTCTTCTTGAAAGCAATTAAACTTGGCATCCCTATAGCTACTTAATGTGTTTATATCAGTGCCTGTAATTGTTTTCTGAAGCCATAAATTTCTCAAGTTAATTATAAACAAATTGCTCTGCTTAATTAACGGGCATCACTAACAGGTATTATCTAATATGCATGTGAATGAATCTTACGACAGCCACACAGGGCCTGGATTAATGATGTCAGGATGGTGGCCCTGGGAGAGAAATCAGTGTCCCAGAATCTGGGTCTGGGGTAGGCTCCAGGAAACTCCAGACCAGAATCTGCTGGAGCAGAGCATGCCAGGGCTGTCCCTGCCCATGCTGGGTCTTTGGGGTCGAAGTCACCTAGGACCCTCCCAGTTACACGTTATGTGGGTGACTGAGCACCACCTCAGTTTATTAGCAAAATGTCCCTCCCCTGCACTGTTTTCTCATCTATGTCACCCATGTTGTTCTTCTCATACAGACCCTGCACTGTGGCTGGTATAGCATGGCAGTAATGAGGCTGGATGCAAGGGCCAGGCTCCCATGGTTCTAATCTCAGCCTGCCAGCTACTAGATGTGGGAATATCTAGTAGCAAGTTACTATTGAATAGTTGGCACCTCACTTTGGCCATTTTTAGAAAGGAGACAATCACTGTACCTACCTTACAGCTTCATGAGGACTAAATCAGCTAATCTGGGTAAAGCGAACATAACAATGTTAATAACCTTAACTATTATTAAGTATTGTAATCTTCCCACATTATAAACTAGAAAGCTAAGATTCTATGACCGAGGACCAGGACTAGGGTTAAGCAAGTGAACCATCTGGGGTACGAAATTTAAGAAGGCATTCTCTTCTTAAGGTTACCACCTCAGGCTAGCCTGGCCAGTGTGACCTGTCCACATTTGTTCAGCCTGGATCAGATCTGAAAGACTCCTGAGCCCGTCTGCTCTCATGGGGACACCCCTGCTGCTTAGTAATCCTTCCTGGTTTTGACATTTCTGTTCTGAAAAAGGACCCCGTCAGGAATGAGATGCTTCTTCAGGCCAACAGAGGTTTGAGGGGTGGAGTTTCTCTGCAGAACAGTGCCCCGGGAGCCCCATTTCTCGTCACTTCTGCTGGACACAGGTGAGTGGTGCCAAGGACACAGCATTCTTACTAAATTCCCACTTTCTAAAGCAAAATTCTTGGCCTTTGGGAGACAAAGTTGGCAGAACAGGCTTTATACAGCCAAGGTGTCTCCATCTCCTTGTTTTTAATATTTATCCAGGTGACATTCTTCACTGCTTATTAACTGCTCAGGAGGGCAGCTCCTTGCAGCTACTGGGAGCCACAGGTTATGTTGGAGATGAGGCAGGAACCCCAGAATCCCTGTTGGAGAAATAATGGAGCTGTTGATGGGATTCAGTGCTACCAACATTTCATTCAAGTGGAATCAGTGCCCTTCTGTAGCCTCATATTTGGTGGTCAATGCCAAGGGCCTCACATCAAGAAGTTTCTCTCCTTCAACCATAATTTTTTCTGATCAGGAAGGAAAGAAATTGCCTTTATTAAGCAACTGTCACAGGTACCTTCTTCATAGGTATTATTTATCCTCACTCAGCAACTAAGCAAACAGGCTTGCGGAGGTCACACTAGTTATGCAACATGGGAGGGGCAGAGCAAGGATCTGGAGCAAGATCTGCTGTACTCTGTGTGGCCTGTGCACGTCCCTGAATCACAGTGCTCTGGGATATAAATTTAGGCCTCACTGAAGCTGAATTATCTGCAATCTTTGGGCCTTGGACCTCTCAACTCATTCTCCTTGGGAGAAGGCAGATGTTAGGAACTAAGTGCATATACAAACGGCCATGGTCATGTTCTCAACCATCTTGTTAGAATTCAATAGTTGTCTTAAGAGGCTCTAATCCAATGAGCCAAGGAATTGCTCAGGGCTGAAATAGGAAGCAGGTCCTTGAAAGGGGGAGACCTCAGCAATAAACCCATCATGGTCAATCCCCAAGAGGTAACATTCCCCTGTCTCCCACCAGTGGACAAGGCTACTCTGATTCCTGAGTCTTCTCCAGTGAATTATCTCAGAACTTACTTGTACCTTCTCCAAATATGTTAAAAATGAATTTTAATGTGGTGGAAATTGCTGCAAAATGAATAACATGTTGTGAAGGATATGTTACTTTCTATGTATGCATATATGTCTGTGGGGAATAGACATACGGTTTATTCATTGGTCCATTCATTCATGTATATTTATTTCTCCACTTTTGAATTCATGTATTCACTTGTGTTTTGATTTGCTCATCTATTCATTCATTTTTTAAAAATTTACCCAGTCATCCATTGAGCTATCCATCTAACCATGTATTATCAAACTTTTCCTGCACCTACTATGTGCTAGGTGGCATGTTAAATGTTAGAAATATAGAAGTGGATGAAACAAAATTCTGCCCTTAAGGAATTTACAGTCTAATGGATTAGACAGCCATTTATATCCCTAAGGGCATTTCATTGTTTTTGGTTCCACAGTAGAGGTCTATACAATGTATTTTGGGAGCCCAGAGTTGACTTTCCCTGCAGAGATGTGAGGGGGAATCTTGACAGGAGAAGAAACACTTGAGTAAGAAGTCATCAGGCAAAGGAAGTGAGTACATGATAAGGTTGAGGGAAAGCACTAAGTTCAACCATGTGGGAATGAGTCCAATGAGTCCATAGCTCCCATAATTTATCATTCATTCTTTTCTCAGACAGTCATAAGTACTCTGTTCTGGGAAGAATTTATCTGGCAGAGAAAAGAAAACAAAACATTCTTCAATTTATCTGCCTATTTCTACCTGCCACCAGAAGATGGAGGTGATGGTTTTCAGTTTTTCAGGAACTAATCTGAGGTGCAAAAGATACCGACCCTGGAATATTCAAATGTGGCCTGTGGGGGACCACCCTGCTCTCTTGGGTTAGTGTCTAGTCCTAATAACTGTCACCCTCCAGTGCCTCTGGTCACTCTTCCCTGCCATGGGCATAAATTGCTGGAATATAGAAAGAGATTCACTCTAGATATTAAAAATGGTATTTGTTTGCAGGAAGCAAATACTCTTTACCACTTAGTTGTGGAAAATTCCCAGCTTTTCTCCAAGGGACCATAATATTTATTCTCAATTTATGTAGTATCTTTCCTCCAAACAGCTTTATAAATTTTTTATCAAGATTGTATTTTAGGAACTGAAAACTACTTGATTCCTACCAGACTGTCACATTTGAAAGAAATTTTATGAAACCCAGATGGGATTTTTTAATGCCTATATTTCTTTTT